ATTCAACAGCAGCAGCAACAGATACAGTAGAGACAACAGAGATAGAGACCCCTTCGGAGAGAGAGACCACAGTCGAGAGAGGGAGAGGGAGCGAGATTCGTCAGACCACTTTTTCGATGCAATTTCAGATGAGCCACCGCAGTTCTCAAGGTGCAGATTATGATAAGTTTGGTGTAATGGATCAGAGGATAAAATCTGAGTCAGCTGGTAGATTGACAACCGTTGAACTAGTTCTTTATAGGGGTGGCAATTCGTTACTAGGTACCATAGGGGGGAAATAGTTAAAGAAATCCTGAGTTAGCTTTGTCGAGATTAGTTATTATCATAAAAAAGAGAATGGTAACAAAAGGTATAAATTATAATGCATAGCTCCTCGTCCTTTCTTGATTGAATTGTTTTTTGTTTTCACTGAAGTGTCGAGTGAGTTTTTCATTTCTTTTGACATTTTGTTAAGTTCACTTTATCATTTAGAAAATTTGATGGTTCGTTTCTGCTTTAATCAAATGAAAAGAAAATGAAAAAAGAAGATTGATTCATCAAATTTGATGGTTCGTTTCCTGCCTCAATCAAATGAAAAAATCAAAAAAGAAGATTGATTCACCAAGATTGATTATCTTGTCGAAATTAATTAATTGTGGGAAAAATGATATATCTTATTTTAATTAACAGTGGAAGGAGAACCGGTGGTGGAAACAGTGACTGGGAAGTGAAACAAGCCACACCTTTGATGGCCTCGGATTGGTCCAGAACACCAGCCAATCAGAACAGCGGAAATATCAGTAGCTTCAATAGCTCCTCAAATTGGGACTTCAACAGGTCGACAATGAACCTGAAAATATTAATCAAATATTCGATATATCATATATGGTCTAATATTGAGTGGAACGAGCCCAGCAAGAGGGCGCTGATGTAGGATTTTTGCGAGGATGGCGTTTCATTTGTATCGATTCCGAGTTCTCTCATAAGAAAGTCGGTCAGCCAAAATTGGGTGTTTCAAAATAGTACCAAAGAGCAAAGCATCAGAAGTGTCAATAAATCGAGATCCTGAGAGAAGCAGTTAAATCAAACACTTCCTACGGATTGTTTTGCTTGTTATTAAGAGTCGTGAACTTAGTGAATACTCTTCTATAGGTCTTGGTGATTCGTTGTTTGGATTTCTATTTCTTTTTAAGGATTTCTATTTCTTTTGTTTGGATTTCTAACTTCATTTCCTTTGATAAAAGGAATATAAACTATTTTATCGAACAGCAAAAGTGTCAAGGTCACGAAAAACATGATCGACTTCTACTTTCAAAACAGGATTTTAATTTTCGATCTCCCAGTGATATAGAAAATAAACCAATTGATCGAGTTTTCTTCTCAAATTGGGTTAATTATATCAAAAAAATGGTCGATCATATTCTCTTTGCTCTTGAAATCCAAATAGTTTTTAGGCCATATATTTTTTTCTTTGAAATTCGAAAGTTGACGTTTTTTCAAAAAAAAGTTTTTTTTTCGATTTCCTTGCGTTCATTGACTCTTTTCCAACTGTCTGTTGGGAACATTTTTTTATTCTATTCCCTAATTACTTATTTTTAGATCTGGTCCGTCTAGTAGAGCTGGCAATTCTGCTGTTTCTTCGTCAGGCGGTGGAGGAGGTGGAAAAGATTTCAGCGACAGATTTTCTAGCGCCAAGTCAATATCATCCAGCCAGTACTTTGGAAACGATGAGGCAAATGTATGTTCAGTTCCTCCTCTAGATGCATGTCTGAAGTTAAGATGTATTTTTTGGCAAACAAAGCCTGTGAATCTTATCAATTTGGCAATCTTGAGAACTTTTGTAGCAGGTTCTACAGTTTTTACGTTCATAAAAGCCCTGAAGTAATGTATATTGAGAGCAATTTTGATGGTTAATATATTTGCTTAATATAGGGTAATGGTTTCGATACCTCAAAATACGCCGGATCCAACAGCATTAGCAGTCGGGATGTGTTCGGAGGAGGCACTGACGGGGACAGGGGCTCAAGGGGCTATTATGACCGGGTGCCGGCGGGACCAGACGTGGAGCAGATGAAGGATGATCTGAAACATGGGATATCATCATTGGCTGGAAAATTGTCAAGAGCTACAGCTAGTGTAATGGATACTTTACAGGTTTGTTATTGCATGGTTTTCATCAGTGGTTTTTTTTAAGCTTTTTCTCTAATTTGACTTTTCACTTGTAGGAATGTTTTTTTTTGTTCAGGAAATTTTTTCACGCTAATATATTCATGACCTTGTTTTTTTTGATAAATATGGAAATTGAATTTTTTTTCAATGTCTGGAAAACTTCAATTTTTGAGGGAAAATTTGAAATATCGGACTTTAGTTTGATTGACTGCTTGTTTTTTGTCAGTCTACTTTCCAATGCGTACACTCTCCTTCTAATTTAAGCTATTTTTACGGTAATTGAAGGTCGTTCTGTTGTGTGTAAATTTATCAATTCTGTATTTGCGTAGTTTCCTTGTAGAAAATATTTTTCTTTTTTGCTGAAATGGTTTCGGATGATGATGTTTTGACTTATATAGCCTCCTCTGAAGGACCAAAATAAGTTTTCATGCTTTTGTGTATTTCAGGAGGGGTGGGCGTAGTGTAGTAACTTCAATTTCCAAATTTTTATAGCCCAGTTTTTTATACCATTTTGTTTTCGGTTTGACGGGCGTCTACCCAAGGATTCTGAATACTTATTTACAGCAAGCGATGGTTTCATGACATATTTTCTTTAAACTGACTTTTTATTGAAGACAATAGTTTGGATTTTTCGTAGATATACTTTCGAAATATTTTTTACGAAAAGTTTTTTCGGCAGTGCTGTATCTGTTTTATCTCCAGTGTTGCGAAGCTCCGCTTTGCCTCTGTGAGCTTGCTTTTTTCAGAATTTTTTTACACATGCAATAGCGAGTGTTTGATCATCTGGCTCTTGAGTCTCTCCGGTCAACAACTTCATTTAAATAGTAGCTTGTCAGCAGTGCAATTCTCGAGCAGAGATTTTCAAAATGCATAATTTATACGCAATTCGGTTAATACCGTCTAAGTTATTACAAGCAAAGTTTGTGTGGTTTCATTTTTTTTTTTTCATTTAGTTCATTACAAATTTTTACATGCAAAATTTTGTGCATTTTAAAGATGTTGAATATTTACCGCCTTCTCCCTCTGTGTGAAATGAAAGCAAACTACCCTATTGAAAAGCAAAAGTGTAAAGGTCACAGGAAACTTGATGGACTTTTAGTTTCGAAAATGGGTTTTTATTTAAAGCCTACGAATAATAAAAGTTTAGTTGTGTGATGCTATTTATGCTGAAGTATTGTAAATTTTGCTTGTTTCCTTCAGCTGTTATTCAAGGATATTTTGCATCAAGGCTTCGATAACTACCTTTGCTTTACCAGGGCGATAGATCGCGTTTTGGCAAGGGAGTTGTTAATACCGATTAATGGCCGCACAAATTACCAACCATCAGTTTCTAAATCTTCTCCTGTAAGCACGCAATACTTCATGAATGGGATTTTATTGGGACATTAGTCTAGTCTATTCTTTTCGTGTATGACTGGGTTTTCACTAACTAAAAAATGATTTGAAAATTTTGCCCTAGAATGCCTAAATTTTTCAAATGAGTAATTGCGACTAATTGAGGAAAAGTAAGCTGCGGTAGTCATTACATAAATCTTTCAATTTGGCTGTTCTTGAAAAAGTATTCGAATTGAAATTGTACGAAGAAGCCTCTGAACTCAAAAATTGCTCATTTTCAGAAAAATCGGCATTCAAATTTTATATGTTTCTATATGTGGGGCTCAGTATAACACAATTGAATAAGTATGACTTGATTCTCGACATTATTTTTTTCTTGTTTCAGGACCGATATTCCTGACGAAACAACGACTATGATTAAGACTGAGGAAAAGGAAGATAGATGCATTACATTATCATAACTATCACGCAGAGAAAAGGCACTTGTACGAAATCAGAAAAGCCACTCGACCAAATGTGACACGACTCGAAATGTGTTAGCGGGAAACAATCAGCATCTTTGTAAGAATTGAGAGGGTAAGGGTAAAAAATCAAACTCCATAATTCGAATAATGCAGCGGTTGTAAGGTATGCTGGTAAAGTAAAGAAAGGCATTGTGTAAATAAGTGTTTTTCAACTACACTAGATCTGATGCTTGATAAGTTTTCCTTACTGGTTTTGTTGGTTCAATATTGAAGTTATTTTAGTTTTCATTCTCGGTTTTGTTCAGATTTAATTGTTGGTATGGGAGACTTAGTAATTCATAGCTTGCGGTGAATGGAATCTAAAAACATATCTTCCAAATAAGTTGTCATCTGATAAAAGGTAAACTATTTGTTCTTAGGTTTTAGTTTCATATTTTTGTTCAAATGACAATTTATTTCCATTATGCGCTGTTTTAAGTGATGGTTTTGCCTCCTTCAAAAAAAGGAACCTTGCAATTTTATCTGAAAAATTCCTCTAAACTGTAAACTTAGTATTATTGTATTTTATTTCAAAAATATATTGTTATTGTAAGCTGAATTGTGGAAATAATTTTAATTCAAAGTTGTTCGGAACCATTTTTAGTCTTGATCTAGAGTTTTGAAAGATGATAATTGATCAGGCTAAGTAAAGACGCAATAAAAGCTCGCTGCAATCAATGAGTGTGAGATTACAGTTGATGAAAAAACCCTTAGACAAGAAAAAAAATCGTTTAAAAAGGTGGCATCATGATGCTTGTCTAAAAACAACTTTGACTAAATTTTCGGCCTAATTTTTTGGGGAAAGTTCTCGAGTAACATAATTCTTGTCTTGAGGATCCTTTGATTCAATGCCAGCATTCATGAAAGATCCGAAAAAGCCTATCAGATAAGTCACCTTTGAGTGCTAGCGCACTATCCATGTAGATCTTTTGCATCAAAGTCACCATTTATTATCCATTTATGTTCTGAAGTACATGTTCGGATAGAAGTATTTTGTTCTTGAATTTCAGTTGTGTTTTCCAGATGAGTAAATGGCTATGAGCGGAGAAATAGATAGTCATATAACAGAGAAGTACGAAATCAAAAAGCGGCTTGGAAAGGGCGCTTATGGCATAGTCTGGAAGGCCGTAGACAGAAAAGGCTCAGAAGTGATTGCTTTAAAGAAAATATTCGATGCTTTCAGAAACCAGACCGATGCTCAGAGAACCTTCAGAGAAATCATGTTTCTCCAAGAGTTCGGAAGCCATCCAAATGTAATTAAATTATTAAATGTCGTAAAGGCAAACAATGATAAAGATATCTATCTAGTATTCGAGTTCATGGACACTGATTTACATAATGTAATTAAGAGAGGAAACATTCTGAAGGACATCCACAAGCGGTACATTATGTATCAACTTTTCAAAGCAACCAAGTATTTGCACTCGGGAAATGTTATTCACCGCGACTACAAACCTTCGAATATTCTACTAAATGCGGAATGTTTTGTAAAAGTAGCAGACTTTGGGCTGGCAAGATCTCTTACCCAACTGGAAGATTCGGAAGACAAGTTCAATCCAGATGGCGGATTTCTCACCGAATATGTCGCAACTAGATGGTACAGAGCGCCGGAAATTCTTCTAGCCTCACATAAATACACAAAAGCCGTTGACATGTGGTCTCTAGGTTGCATTCTGGGAGAAATGCTCCTAGAGAAACCTTTGTTTCCAGGGTCCTCAACTCTCAATCAGATCGAAAAGATCCTTGCTGATATCCCTACTCCTAATTCAGAGGATATTAACAGCATAAAATCGCCATATGGAGCAAGTGTGTTGCATAAAACTAATGTAAGACAGAAAAGAAGCTTTACTGACATAGTGCCTTCAGCGTCAGCAGATGCGATTGATTTATTGAACCATCTTCTGCATTTCAACCCGGATAAAAGACTAACTGCAGACCTATCTCTTCAACACTCATATGTGTCCAAGTTTCATAACAGCAGCGATGAACCAGTTTTGAATTACGATGTTGTTCCGCCTTTAGATGACGATGTCCAGCTATCGATTGACGAGTACCGCCAAAAATTGTACGAAATGATAATCCAGAAAAAGACGGAAATTCGCCGCAACAAACGAAACGAAGCTAACAAGAAAGGCGATGAGAACAACAATCCTAACAAAGGCGATAACGATGCTAATAGTGACACAGCTAACGAACGGACTGAAGACAAACATGATCTTCGAGGCGGCGATAGTTCAGGTCACAAGAATTCAGGAAATACGAATGCGAAGAGTAATTCAAAAAACGGAGTTTCTTCGGCTTCGGGTAACCAGGCATCTAAATACCCTTCGGGTAACGCCAGTGGTTCCAATGAACAATCAATGGCAAGTAGCTCAAACATCGTCAATAGCAGAATGAGTAATGGTGGTGGATCCGGTGGCAAAATGAATGCCAGCGGAAGCATTTCGTCAATGTCACCCTGGACAGTTTCGAGTGCCCATTTAGATCCAAATAACAACAAACCCCATTCATCTTCGGGTAACAGCATACAGAGTCAACTTGAGGCGCAAAGAACTGGAATGAATAATGGTAATGCTCGGCCAAACTATTCCAGTTTACTGGCCAACGGAAGTGCAAGTCAATCCGGAAATGTATCGGAATCATTTGCAAAGTATGACAGCTATGGAGGCAATACGAGGCCTAAACGCGATCGAGATGTCTCAAATGACGTAATCCAACGTCGAGGCACTTCCGCTCCGGTAACGCGAGGACGATCGACGTTCACCTCAGGAGTCGGGAACCCAGTCATTATGCGAGGTGACTCGAGGTCAAGCGCAGTTGCAATGAACTCCTACAACCCCGGAATTGGGTCATCATCGGGGTCCAAAATGATGAATCACCATGTAAAAAGTCCTACTGATATGGGTTATGGGTCGTCGCAGAGCAAAATTTCGCCGGTGTACGGGGGCGGGAGACGACAGTACTCGAGTAAGAATCAGAGTTCTTCTTCGTTCCAGTCGGCCCCGAGGACCAACTTCGGCAGCTTTACTCAGTCACACGGCACAATAACTTCATCTGGACTTGAACAACTGCGCAATAATTTGAAAATGTGAAATTCGTGTAATACGTAATAGTAATTAAAATGCATTGAATGCTGTACGATACATAGCTAGTGTTTTATAATTTGTTTCAAATTCTACTAAATAGTGTAAACTAATGTAAATACAACTCTTTGAAGGCTTAGCAAATGTACATGTGTATGAAAAAAAGCTGTTATCTTCACAATTTTTGAAAATAAGTTCAGAGGAAAGTTCAGTTTTGCTCTGCAAGTAGTACAGAAGGTTCCGACTTTTTTCAAATTAGTTATTTTTCTGCGTGATGTGATTAAAGGATCTGACGTAAAACTATCATAAGGCATATTCGACAGTCATAGTACTATAGGCAAATTGGACAAAACTTTTTGTAGAAAAATGACTAGAAAAACAAAAAAATTAAAAAATGTTTATTTTTTTTCAAATTTTTTTGCAGAAAATTAAAAAAATATTTTGTGAAGTTTTTGCTTCCCAATATGGCGCAAAAAACTCGAAAAACTAGTTTAATGTACTTAAAACTAAGTTTTCATGGACTAAATTAAGCATAACTAGGCTGTTGTAGTCCTGCTCGCTTTTTATTCGTTCAAAGTTTGAATTAAAATCAAAAATTGCAAACCAGTTTATCTCGATACTGAGAATTTTTTTTGAAAAATTTGTAATATCGTTCGAATCAGGACCGAAAGGGTTTAATTTTATTACTTCACCCATTCCAATGGTTATTTGTGGTACCTGATTTTGCGTGGAAGTAAAAAAAAACCCATCCGAATACTAAGTTCCTCCACGTTTTTCAAATGGTCGGAACAAAGAAATGAAAAACTAAATGATTTTTATAATGACGAGAGAGAAATTATGCATGATAGAAAGAGGCGAAGCGGAGATCGCTTAATTTGCAATACATAATCTGAATGAAAAACGAATTGCCATAATTCAAAGAAAATGAAAATAGATTTCATAGTGAAATTTTGGAACACAAATATATTTAAAACATATTTTTTATTTTTCAAGAGTAAACACGCGCAGTCTATTTTCTATTGCACTTCGAAATCAGGAAAAATCCGTTGAGTAAGTCAGAAAAACAGCTCCGATGCAATAATTTTTTGAAAAAAATGAAAATTCGTTTTTGTTTCTCAAAGCATTGTAATTAGATAAAATTCGCATTTTAGATAGCTTAAGACACAGCTCCAGACTGCTTTCGTTTGAGAGAATAAATTGGCAGATGCCCTTCCTCAGGGATTCGACCCCCTACCGATCCAAAGGGTCCCCCCTTTTGTACTATTTTGAAATATCAATTTTTGTTGACGGAACCTAAAATTTTTCTAAAAGCCCCTTCGGCGCCAATATATATTATTTTTGAGGGAGGAGCGCGCGCCAAAGAAACGCTATTTTTTGGTCATAGTTTTCCGAAAAGTGCCTAAAAACGCTTTTTTAGGCCAGTTTTTTCAAAACTATGCCTTCGGCGCAGAAAGTTTAGCCAAAACAAGGGTTTTTTAGTGCTTTGGGAGAGGTCGAAAAATCAATTTGGTCGACCTAAAAAAAGTCGACAAAAATTTCGAATTTTTTTTTGAAAACGCGTCCCCCTCCAGAAATTCCTAGATCCGCCCCTGTTGATATGCTAATGATGAATTCTTTGAACAAAGTTTCAACGGAAAAAAATGTCTTCTATCTGGTCGCAAACGGATGAAATAATTTTCTGGAAAAAATTTAGAAATGCAATAAAATTAAGCTTAAATGTGACGTGCGCAAGATTTTCAGACAAAACCCAATTAGAATGCAAGAATCAAATGAGAAATTCAAAATTGAAAGAACTCCAACAACAATAATCTAATTCTAACAACAATCAAATAGATCAAAAAATTATTGGTATGGTAAATTTTTTCGATATCAGGCGGCGTTACAAATAATCAAAAACTTATAATGCGTATTTGTTGAACACAGCAGTTTGAACCAAAACCAAAAAAAAAACTCCGAAATAATTATCACTTCTCCGAAATTGCAGCTTTTTGAGTTCAGTTTTAAAATCAAACTGACAATGTCTCTTCATTTTGCTTTCTTTTTGTTATACAAACAAGCGCGTTACTAGAAGAGAAGTTTTCCATGTTCTACTTCACGTGCGTTGCGTTTGGGGGCATTACTAACTCAAAACCGGATATTTTTTTCAATTTTGATTATTATAGAATCTTATATTCTGTTATTAAAGCATTCGAAGATTTGGTTTTCTTGATAACTGTGATGTTTTTTGCGTATGAGAAACGCAACTTGGTCTGTGTTCTTTGATACAGTTCAATTCAGGTGAGATTTTGTATTCCTCGAATTACAACAAGTACCAATAACTTGTTGAAGTCAAACTCGGCTTTGTTGAAATAAAAAAGTTCAAGAAATCAAGTGAAAGCAAAGAAAACAACTCATTATGATTATTTGCGGTACTCAATTTGGCGTTGAAGTTTTGAAAAAAATTAATTACCGAATGCAAAATTCCTCCCCACTTTCAGCGGCCAGGACAATAAATTGAGGGCGTGAGATTCGACATGAATAGTTTCGCGGAACTACCAATTCCAAAACGTCTCGACTAAATCAAAAGATTTTTTTTCAAATTTTGATTATTAGGAGAACTTTTTGCAGTATATCAGTTATACATTTAGATATTATTAATCAAGATTAAGATTTACAGATTACAATTCAATTTTTACATATTTGTTGGATAGCAGATAAAGTTCAAATTATTGGTTATCGGGCTCGTGAATTCATGATTTTGCCAGAAAATGCTTCCAAAAAAGTGTGGTGAAAATGAGCCATTTTGAAGTCTGTGTATTTACTGCAGACAAGGGCCTGTTGAGGTTGAAGTAATCGTCGTAAATATTTGCGGACCCAATGGGCAAATCTTCTATAATAAACAGGAATTTGCATTTAGGGCTAATTTCTATCAAGATTTAAAAGTAGATTTTTCTAGGAGACATTTTTACGGATAAAATAATTTGGCTTGGACCAAAATCTCATCTAAAAATTAATTGAACTCATCTAAACTGATTTAATTTTCAACAACATGGTCACTTCTCAATACAACTTTTTCCAATAACAATGAAGAATAGCTTTATGCATTTGCACCCCCTGGTAAAAATTCTACATTTACATCACCCCTAGATATAAGTATCGAATTGAAAAGTTGAAAGTGTACCGTTACCTCTTGGCTCTGCGAACTTCATCATGCACTTCATCTTGCATTTATAATACTGGGCGGCATCTCTATTCTTTGTGTGGCAGTTACTCATGCACGATAGTCTCTGCCAACCCTGCGATTTCATGTCTAGAACAGAAAAGGTTCTTGTTTTAAACAAGGAACGAGCTAAAGAGGGCCGGAACGAGCCAACCCTGACTTTAAGTATTCGTTCTAAAACATTTTCTTGAATTGATGCTTAAAAGTAGTACAACTTGTTTGCTGCTTAATTTGGCTTCTTGATTTAATTATTTTAAAGCGCTTCTGACGCAGAAAAAATCAGTCTTTTCAGAGCGATTTCAAAATTCTCAGAGTGGCTTTTACTCTCGAAAAAAAATTAAGAAATTCTTCAGCTTCTTACCGATCGATTTGTCATTTCGTGCTTTGGATAGAGTTTGCGCCATCGTACATTCAGTGATATCTAAGTGAGTTCCGTTTAAAATCTGAAGCCTGCAGCTGTGCCAAATGTCTTTGCTCCAATCTTTCTCCGATGGCATAAATTCGGCATACAGTGACACTCGTAATTGATAACTCATTGAAAGTTGACATACTTCTTTCTCTGTTAACTTGTTTTTGCTCCGCTGTATGGGTAGAGATGGTCTCAGCCTGAAGCACTGATATTGGATGGGTTCCCGTGGACCAGTAGGATCTTGTGCATACCAATCGCAAAATGCAGAAGATTCTCGAATTTGAATAAACAGAAAACCTGCCAAAAATAACTTACCTTGAGTTGCGTCGGTCGATATGATTTAAATTTTGCTTCTATTGATTGAATGAGTTTTAAAACTTGATTTAAATATTGAAACATCATTAAGTTTCAAAAAAAAAACGCAAACATTTTCAAATAGTCCAAAACAATTAGAATAAATTTTTTCAGCTCTGTTTGTAAATTGATTCGATTATCGATATAACATTATCATAAAATAAATATGAACAAAAAATATCTCAATATTTTTTTGCAAAAACTAATAAGGAATTCTTCCGACCATTGAAAATGGGGAGGAAAAGTGTATTCGGGTGTCTTGTATTTTTTGTTTTGACCGCAAAATCAGGTACCAGAAATAATCATTGGAATGGATCGAGTGGTATATCCTAATCAAGCCCTTTCAGTCGTATTTCAAACGATATAAAAAAACTTCAAACTATTTTTCTACTGTTGGAAAAATGGGTTGGAAATTTTTGAGTTTTAATCTAAATTCGCGTGAGTGAAGCCATCGAGTAACATGAAACTGAGTTGAAAAATGGTCATTTGGATTAAGATATCATAAAGATACTAAATGAAAATCTTGCCTTGGATGCTTCACATTTTGCGCTTATTTATTCATTTTTTGAAGGCAACTGTTGCCGATTAATAGTTTACTACTAGTAATTCAATTTTTTTCAAACGCATTTGTAAAACTTTCTCATCACATCATGCACAAAAAAACCACAATAGTTGCATTACGAGGCCAAACTTTGCACTGGATAGGCGAACAATTTTGTGAATGTATGTCCCTGGATTCCAGAGACAAGTCTTTAAACATGTTACAAAATGTAAGTGAATTCTACTTACAAAATTTCAGTGGATTCCGCCTGCAAATACTTGTAAAGTAAATTTTGTCGGCACATTGATTTTGTTGCGGATTTCGCAACGAGCGTACATAGGTAGCTGTTCCGGATTCCGCAAATGTAAGAGGATTCCGCAAATAGAAGTGGATTCCGCAAATTTATGCGGATTCCGTTTACAACTTGCGGATTCCGCATATAATTTGTGGAAACCGCTTACAATTTGTGGATTCCGCTTACAGTTTTCGGATTCACTTACAATTGTAGATTCCGCGACAGCTTAAGTTCGCTAAACACATATATTTATATTTGTTCATAGGTTCCACAAACTGGTTGCGGATTCCACACATTTTGTTGCGGATTCGTCAAAGTTGCCTGTTTTTGGAGCGATTTTGAGCAATACAGTGTTTTAGCTA